TCTCTCTCTCTCTCTCTCTCTCTCTCTCTCTCTCTCTCTCTCTCTCTCTCTCTCTCTATCTATCTCTCTCTTATTCTTTCGCCCCCTCTCTCCCCCTCTCTCTAATTCCGCCGCCATTTAAACCCGTGGAGAGAGAGGCGGTTTTCTCGTAATATTTTGTTTAAACAAACACGGACTTGAAAAGCGCGCGTGTGGTTTTACCTCTTACGCCACAACGGCAGCTATGCAGCTAGCGGGCGGCGGGATTTTTTCCCCTATGTCAATCAAGAACATAGGGCTCTAGTGAGCGCTGCTATTGGTTGAGCTTGTTTCGTCGCTTAATGACGTCACAGTGTCACATATTCATAGCACATCCAAAATTTGTATTTACAATATAGCTCAATAGCCTAGCTAGTACAGCACGCAATTCAAGTCTGAAAGGTCGGTGATCGAATCCCATCCTTTTTCTAATTATTTTCCTGTTTTCTGTATTTTTCTATCTTTATCCGTTTAACAATTTTTTTCCAATTAACGCAAATATTTACATGATTTATTTACAACATTTTAATAACAACAATTAATTTTTACAACAATTAAAAATTATATTTTTTATATTTTTTTAAATAGGGTTTGGGTTAGGGTTAGGGTTAGGTTTAGGGTCACAATGCAGTGAATGCACCATAAAACAGGAGTTTGAGGCACGTGATTTGTATCAACCAATGGCAGCGCTCACTAGAGCCCTATGTTCTTGATTGCCCTAGGGAAAAAATCACGCTAGCGGCCGTTCGTTAGATGTTAATATTCATGCGTTTCTAGTCGACACATTGATTTATAACGCGGTAATATGCGGCAGTTCGTAACGTGCGGAGTTTCAGACAAGAAGCCATCAGCAATGTTGCACGCGTCTGGTCGGACCGCCACAGCAACTATAGCAGCAGCAACAGTTATACTAATCCTTACACGCAAGAGTTAGAGAGTGTTTCTGATGATGGGTGGTTAGCATATAAAATGTAGCACGTGTTAGTTAGTATACTGTTGTGGGTGATTCATTCGTTCCAATTGCAGTCACGCTGATAACACCGAATACAGTTTCAAACATTTATTTTCCAGTCTAAAATTCTGCAGCAACACACCGTCTAGAAATTCACGTACATTAGCTTCACAGTTCCCTCACATAATGCATCGACGACCTCTGCACTTCACTTCAACCGCCCGTCAGGCGCACGATTTCACAACGATGCAAGTCGGTGTCTAGGCTACAGATCAGCTTCTATTCAGTGCGTAACAGTTCAGTTCAAACTCAATACATATCAGTTCGCTTGCCTTCAGAACCTATTAGCCCTATAGCTCACTCAGTATCTCAGTATCTCAGTATCTCAGATGTATCCGGCAATCTCAGGTACAAACAAATTGGCAACTTATACACGCAAATACCAGGGTACGTTCCGGTATACCGGACCGTACCCAGGGTACGTTCCGGCAGTACCCCGGGGGACATAGACCCTCTCAGCTCTAGTGGGTGGAGGGTAGCGCGTTGAAAATGGCAAGTACCAAGAAACGAACGCGTTATATGCGCACTTAAAAGAGCTATTACATTCGTTCACACGTGTAGTTTTCATCATAGCGTTAAAACACATATTCGCATTTGCTGCACCTTAAAAACTAGTAGTTTTCAATTACAATAAAGCACATGCGCGTTCTTATAGTGTAATAGCGGCAGCATTATAAATCTACACACT